TGGAGTTTTTTTTAGGCAAACACTGCTCGTATCCTGAGTTTGATCCTGACAGGACTCAAGGTTAGCGCAGCCTTCCATCCTTCTGAGGTAGGTAAAATGAGGACCCAGATTGTTGGGGGCAATTTCCAAGAACATTGTAAACTGTTCCGAGAGTGATGTAAACTGCTGTGGGTTGATATATAAGTTTAAATGTTATTTGTTTTTGTTTTTTTGCCTATCATAAACAATGCCTGAACCCAGATGTTTAGATACTCCTATCCTCCGCGACCTGCACTGGATTCCTATGAGTCTCCGGATGCGCTTCAAGGTGCTGGTTATTACCTTTAAAGCCCTACATGGCTTAGGACCTTGATATCTGCGAGACCGCCTCCTGCCACATACCTCCCAATGGCCGATAAGATCTCACAGGCTGGACCTCCTCCGGGTGCCATCGACCGGGCAATGCTGGCGACCCCCCGGGGGAGGGCCTTCTCTGTAGCTGCTCCAGCCCTGTGGAACGATCTACCTGCAGATATCTGGACCTTCCCACTCTCTCAGCTGTCCGAAAAGCCACTAAGACCTGGCTGTTCCAGCAGGCCTGGGGCTGTTGACCTCATAAATGAGGTCCAGCCCCATCTAGGCTTGAGTGTATGGTGTGTTGTTTTTAAATCTGTTTTCTCTTTTCCCTATATTTTAGTTTTTACTTTATTCTTGTATTTGTAAGCCGCCCGGAGTCCTATGGGATTGGGCGGCATATAAATTTATTAAATTACAATTACAATTAATTACCCAAAATTTCCCACATATCTTGTTTTGAGTAAATTTCAATATTTAACTTTTTAAATCCATAATGGGATGGCTCATCCTTTCTCTTTCCCTAATTTTCAGAATAGAGAAGTCTCGGATTTACTTTCTAAAATGTAAAAAAAAAAGTTCATAAAGTTAAAGAATGGCCATCATTTCAGGAAGCACTAGACAAAGAACCTACCATTGTTATAACTATCTAAAATCTTCTTCTAAATGTTAATATAAGATGATTGAGATCTTTTGATTATTCTTTTATATTCAGGAAGAAAAAAAACAAAGTTTCTTTTTCCCATTATTTTTATTCTTGTAACTGGAAAATCATAACTGTGACAAAAGTTAGCTTTTATTTTTATTTATTTTTTAAAAGAACACTAAAAAGTATCCCAAATCAAGTAAATCCCAATGCCTGCAGATAGAATCACGTTTCTGGGAAAATGCTGCTGCGTATATTTTGGAAATTCACATACAATAAATTTAGAAAAATATAAGAACTCTCAAAATAAAATCACTAGCATTATTCATTCACTGTTTAATACATAGCTGATTAAATATGTTCTTGCAAACATAAAGATAGTTAGCATTTTAACTTTTAAGTGCAATGTAGCTACCATTTGATAGTAATGTGATGGAAACCAAATGCTTACAAGAGCAAATCTGGTAATCTGAATTTAAATACAACTTAATTTTGTAAAAGCCTCTTTCACTGGGGCTCATATAAGAAATTAGCAAGTTAATAAGGTTCCTATTTAAGATGAATAATGAAACTACCTATTTGCTCAATATTATAGTTTTTATTTTAAAATATTTTCAAAAGAAACTCTCCTTCAGCTATAACATTCAAGTGTTAATTTCTTTAAATGTATTTTGAAAGTCATCTGGCATTATTACAATTACAATAAATGTGAGATTACCTACAATTAAAACTTCTGGGAGTGCTGAACCATACTGTAATAGTGTCTGAACTTTACAAAAATATGTATTTCCTGATAGTAAATTTATTAAAAAGTGTGAAAGTTGATGCTTTTGTGACATATAAATTTCAGATTATTATAAAAAGAATTTAATCATACTTCAATTAATACACTGTGCAAAGTGAAGATATTCAATGCGATCCATGAAACCTTCACCCATATCAGCCATTGAAATCAAATCAATTCACTTGAATTCATGCTGAGCTATTGCCCCAGCATCAAACAGATCCTGTATAACATCATCCTTATATCCCAATGTACCCTTCAATATATCCAGTGTATGCTGTCCAACCAGAGGTGGTGGTTTAGGATGTGACATTTCAAACTGGTTATACCTTACAGCTGGTCCTGTTGAAAAAAAAAAGAAATCTATTATTAATTTTGTGCATAATATCCCCCAGAACTGCTACAGAACTGCTTCTACTGTAAACTCTATTATTCAGTATAAGAAGTAGATAATTAAAATACAACATCCACCTAAAGGTATTTTTCTATTGCCTGATTACTTTCAAGTCTGGGCTTTTCTGCCTTTTCCAAAACATAGTAGAAATGTAAACAAATTATGAGACACAAATAGCAATACACTTAGATTTATATACCACTTCACAGTGCTTTACAGCTCTCCCTAAGTGGTTTAGAGAGTTAGCATATTGTCCCCAGCAATCTGGGTCCTCATTTTACCCACCTTGGAAGGATGGAGGGCTGAAATACATTTATTACCAGAATGTCTAATTTCATTCTTTATATTAGAAAAGACCTTGTATAGAGTTTCCTACTTTCAACCCTGAAATATATGTAAAAATATGGCTAAAAATGAGACAACTTTCCAACAATGCCTATCCCATTGTTGAAAAATTTTCATTGTCAGGATATGATTCTTAAAATTCTTATTTTTTCCCCTTGTAACTCAAATTCACTGAGTCACCTCCTGTCCTTAAAGCAATCAATTTCCCATGATAGTTGTTCTGTTGCAGGTTCAACCTGCTCACTTCTTTCAGCCTTATGTATATGCATTAATATAGCTATTAAGCATAGATGTACTAAATCACCATTGTTATACTATGCACCATGATTATTACACATTATAGCAAGAGATGTATTTTACATTATAGGAAAGGCCAAACTTTGAATTAGTTCTATCTTCATTTGCAATTGAAAAAACATACATCAGGTCAGATGAGATGTTTCTCATGCACAGCATCTGCCTGCATACCTGCTTCAGTTAAAACTGTTCTGAAATTAAACATTTATTTGAATAGAACATACGGTAAGCTGAATTCTTTGGTTTCACTAAACTTCCATTTTCTTGCTTGCAGAATAGAGGAATCCTGAAAGTATGGTGAAGGCTGATCTTTTCCAACTGTTCAGGATATTTCCAATAGTAAGGTGTTTCTAAAGTTTATGGCATGATAAACTCACTGCTACTCAGAACAATGGAATCTGAACCTCTATTAATAAGAAGGTAAAAAAGGCTATCACTTGAAATCTATTGACCAAACAATATCTTGGAAATTAGTTTTGTATTTACTATTTGAAACATGTATTTTCTCCAGAAGATGAAATTGACTTTCAAATATTATTTTTCATTTTAGTTTTACACCAGTTTTCCTCAGAGAAGAGCCAAGAGTTTTAAACAATGCCAGCATAAAATGACTAACAATGTTTTAAAACTATAAATTCAAAACATATTATCCCATTTTGATAATGTCTTAAAACTAGGACTGAGTTCTGCACAATTGCAACACCTTGATCATTTTCAGGACCCCATTGAAAGTCACATTACAATAATCCAGTTTAGCTCTAGTTCTGGCAATGAAACTGTTTTGATTGCATAGTAGGATTATCTGTTTTAGAGTGAAAGTAGGGGGATTCAACCCTCTAGAGTCTTCTGGTTCTCTTAGCAACTTCTGACATCATCAAATGTAATCCTTCTGCAAAGATTGTCTGAGATGGATGTGGATGGAAATTTTCTGCAATGGTTCTGTGTTAAAAAATTAAAAAAGGATGCTGAAAGAATAAAACTAAAGAATTATTCCCCAATGTATATATGTATTATGACTTATCATGCAAGTTGTTAAGATATATACTCCGGATATTACTTCCTCATCAAGTTCTCAAAGGGGATAAAATAAACAGTTACACTTAGAATACCAAAACTGCCCCTGTAGCAGTTAACTCCATATCATTTTTTTTCCTTTTGTGCCATTCTGCTCTAATATTTCAGGCACCAAATATATAAGAGTTGAAGGACACATTAAAACATAAAATATTAAAAACAAAACAGTAGAAGCAACATTTTGTTAAAAAAACATTTTTTAGCATAAAGTCATCAAAGGATGAAAGGCTATTTTGTTTTTAAAAGTCATGGTCTAGAAATTTTTATACAGGATTTTAAAGATGAAAATGATGACAGACAAAAATGGAAATGTGCTCACAGATACCCTTGACTATCCAAAGGAAGTTCACATGAGTATTCATGTGAGCAGATGCATGCATACTCATTAAGTCTATTGTAGGGAGGAGAAGCAGGTAAATCTAATGATAATAGTAGAATCAGAACTGTGATTTATTATTGTTATTTTGAACTGATTTTATTCATTAACTCTTTAATAAGTCTGGCAACTAGAAAATGGGAAATTTGGAAGATACCACCAAAATGTATATTAAAAATTAAATTAAAAAGCCTATTGCATTGGCCTCTGTAGATAGCAACAGTCTCTTTCTTTCTTTCTTTCTTTTTTTCTTTCTTTCTTTCTCTTTCTTTCCTTCCTTCCATCCATCCCTGTTTTTTAGATGTTTTATGTTGCATTTTGATCAGTATGAAGCTATGGATAATACTGATGGAATGTATAAAGACTACTGTTTTGCTTTTCTCAATGTTTTAAGTGAGAACTAGACAGGATGAGGGGGTGGGGGGAGAAAGCATGGCTTCTGTTTACCATTTTCACTAAGCAATGGGAGCAATGAGCCACACTGGCACACTGGTTAGAGTACATTACTGCAGGCTACTTCTGCTACCTGTTCCTGCCTGCAATTTGGCAGTTCAAATTTCATCAGGCTCAAGGTTGATTCAGCCTTCCATCCTTCCGAGGTGGGTAAAATGAGGACCCAGATTATTGGGGGCAATATGCTAACTCTGTAAACTGCTTAGAGAGGGCTGTAAAGCACTGTAAAGTGGTATATAAGTCTAAGTGCTATTGCTATTGCTATAAAAGGCCCCTGGTGTGCTAATTCCTGATAATATCCAACTCAAAAATAGAAAGGCACTATAACAATTCCTGGATATTTTCTTTACTGGAATCCAGGCCTATCACTTTGATGGGGAAAACCTTTCACGTATATCTCTCAAGAGCACTGCTTTTTTATATTTTTCCTCTGATGAAAATGATTTTCTGCAAATAGTTTTAACTATTTAGAATGTTGTTGTTGTCATCTTTGTACATTTACACATAGAGAATAAATGTACATACTAACAATATTTCCTGTCCTAAGATCCAGTTTGCTAGGTTTACCGGGATATGGAAATATTAATAAAATATGCTAGAAGAAAGTATTGTACTAGAATTCACTCAAAGCAATACACATTTATACTAAAATAAAGAATTAATGTGGTTATCAGCATTTCACCTAAAAGTTGCCCTGAACTAAGTAAGAGTTTCTTACTTCTATGAAAACATGTTTAAAATTCTACTACATGTTACCTAAAAACTTTCAAGAGTTTTTCAGAGCTTATAAATAAAGAAGGGATAATTTCTAACTAAACACAGACAAATTATTAGTTTTTAAAGTTAATGATAACAGTAAGATTATTTGACTGTAAGGCTAAAATAATAGTAGCAGCGGTAGTTTTAAAAAAGCCCTTAAGCTGAGTTCAACTCCTGGTAATTGTATCTATGAAGTTTTCTTGGCAGAGTTAAGAAGGGGGTGGGTGGGCGTCACTGGCTTCCTCTGATACATTTAGCTTTCCAGTCTAGCCAGCAACCCTGGAATTCCTAAGCAGTTTTATATCCAAATATTAATCAGAGCTGATCTTGGTTGGCTTCAAGTTCAGTCAAGTTTGGATAGGTGCTGCCACCTGCTGAGACAACTATAAGGCTGCAAACTTCTAATTAATGTTAAATACCAGCACCTCTCTGATCTTACCTGATCTCAGAAAGGTTACATGGAATCAAACCATCAAATCTGGCATGGTGGTTCAGCTGGAAGTTGGAGGAATATATACATTTAAGAAGCCAAACACTGAAAATGAGTTGTAAAAGCTTTTCAGCACAACATTATTTGTGAAAGATTGACAAGATACAACTCAGTCCACTGCTGGGACAGACTGTGGGAAAGCATGGGACAATGTAATTGAATATTTATTTCAAAAGACAACTGCTGAGAGACATGAGAAAAGTGATTCCTAAAGATACTCCCTCCCAATTAAGTCACTATAACTGAGACTGAGAAATTCCTCTTACAGTTAGTTTTCAAGATTCTGTATTTACATAAGTATATAAAAATCAGTAATGGTTAAAGCTACCTTCTGTATTGTTCTCATGTGCTTGGCATCTACTATGTTCTGCTTCTCTGGCCTATGGATCTCCGCTAAAAATATTCTCTTTTATATGTCCCAGTCATGAAGTTAGATGGCTCCTTCCTTTTTTTTTTATGTACCCGTCTGAGAAAGGAAACTTAGTTTTGAAGTGTTTGATTTATTAAATGAATTCATCAAGGATATAAACATAAGACAACAGGTTAAAAATGAATATGTGGGGAAGAGGAAAAACATAGAATCAACGGAAAATTCTAGTGAGGAATTGCAAGAAGCCCCAATTATGTTATGCTTTACCCAGTTAGTAGGGCATTTTTATGAAGGGAAACCCCTAAAATAACCCACTTCTCCATATTTTTTCAAAGATAAAACTTTGAAAATGAATATAAGAAGTTACTTTTTTTAAGAAATGAAATTCTTAATGCAGCTAGTATTATTTTTCTGAAATACTTTGTCTAGCTGAAATAAACAAATACATAAAATATATAAATATGCCTTCACAGACATTCACTTTACACAAAAAATTATTATTAGTCATAGGTCCAGCTTTGTAGATCATAGTTGATTATGTGATATGCAAACATACTGTAGAGGTTATAATGAATTTCTAGTTCAAGGAAATAACTGAAGAATGTCTCCTATTTATCTAACTGATCTTAAGTCAGTAATTGTTTTGCATTATTATTAAATAATATGCAGGACCTTTCTATGGGAATTTAGCAGAAATGTATATGTTAAGCTGGGCTGAGTTTGCAGGGCTGAGTGTGCATGGCTGTGCCTTAACTTTGTGCTCAATGCTACTTTAGCTGCTCTAGTGGAAGCTCATATTTGCACATGGGACAACTGAAATGCCATCACAAAATTGGGCTACCATTTGTCAAACCACACTTTCTGCTGCTTCCTCCCATTTCAAGCAAGCATCAGTTTTATTTTAATTTTAAATTCTTTGAAGAATACTCACCATTAGTATTTAAGGAGGAGTTAAGGGAGAGCAAATTCCACATTTGAACCCTATTCAGACAAATTTACAAACTGACAATTTGATCAATACCAACTCAGTATGAAGGCCAAGCAATTGTGTTGGCTTTCCATTGTCTGTTGCCAATGCTGGTCATGTGATATTCAGCTCAACAGAGCTGGGAAATATCAAAGCAATATGGAGTATCTCAGTTTCTTAAAATAGGCAGGTAACCTTTAGTTTATGTTGCATGGGTATGTCTGTGTGAGCAAAGTAAAGCAGCCTGTATCTTAAGCTATCACGGTTGTACTTTTCAGTAGCCTGTATTAAAGATTTCTATTCTGTTCCAGAAAGGCAAATATCAGATCATTGTGATCTAATTCACAAGTGAAATAGAAGAATTGGTACACCCATGAAGAGGAATGAGACATAAAGCTAGGAACTTCCACTCCCACCTCACTTTTCTTACTTTTCCTGCTCCCTATGAATTGTATGAGAAAGATGGGACTCTTCCAAGAAGACAACTAAAAAGCCTGTGGATATAAATTAGAATCAGATTGGAGCCAGCCATGCATAAGCAATATTCCATTGCAAATGTGCACAGATCAATTTCATTAAAGCAATTCCGCATTCTCCCTGACTTTTTCCACCTCAAGATGTTTTGGACTAGTTCCTTTATGATTCCTTTTAACTGCTGGAGAAGAATGCTTTAACTTCCTTGGGTTGGCAGTTTTGAAATTCTAATCACAAGCAGCAGGTGCCTTTTTTAAAAAAAAAATACAATGTTTCCATCATGAGTCTCTGGGAGATGAACAGTGTCTTCCTCTCAAATGCTCCATAACCTTTTATCCTTTGCCATTGCACTTGTGGTTTTGGGATTTGACTATTCTTCTCCCTGCTTTCCATTATGTCTTTTCCCCCCTACACTACTTTCTACCTGTTGGCTAATGCATCTTCCTTTTGTTAGGATTGCTAGATTTAAGCTTTTATTTATAATGCTGTGGTAAAAATGGTTAAATCCATTATCTTCAAGGACAGTACAAATATTTTCTGGCTTAAATAACAGACCTTCATGTTCCATGAATGTAAAAGATCCAAACAGCATTCTGGTTTTTAGGTTTCCCCCCTGCTATCCCCATAAAGGATCACATTCAAGAATGGGATTCTGCCGGTTTGGACCGGTTTGGGCAAACCAAACCGGTCCAAACCGGTAGCTCTGAAGTGGGCATGCCCACCTGCCCCTGCACTATACTCACCTATATTTCCTTTTCCAAAGCCCAGATGATCAGCATGGCAGAGTGGATTGCTGTGCCTCACCTGTTTTCCTTGCCAGCAGTAATGTGGAAGGTGAGTTTTCTGTAAACTGTACACGCATGTGCGAGTGAAGCAAACCAATTGTTAAATCGGTAGGATCCCATCCCTGGCCATACTGCTTACTTTGTAACTGACTTGCTTCAAGCCATCACTATAGTCAGTAATATGGACTGAAAGTTGAGAAGATCTAAATGCAATCTATTGATAATACAGGCTAAGTCATATATACAAAATGAAATCATTTAACAGAGCAATACTATTGCTGAAGGTTCTGTTATGTCTACTGCACTGTGGCTCTACACAATTATATGAAATGTTCCTATATATTTCAAAGACAACACAAAAATATAAATAATAATGAGAAGTCCAACATTTAAGAGAAATATCAACCTTTAGCCAAATGCTTATAAAATAATATAACTGCAAGTATGAAAGAAATGCTGATCACAGATCAATATCTGCTACTTCATCAGCTTCAGATCCAAATTTAGATAAAAATTATTGATGGTACACTAAAAGATAACAGCACTGATTCATCATAGCAATCATAATTACAAAAACTATATATACAAACACATACACACAGAAACACATACCCACATTAGTGAAATTACATTAGTAATCTGTTAAATCAAGAAGCTTGGAGTAATTACAGGGTCACTAAAGTATGAACGAATTATTAGCCTTCAGAATAAGCATTTTATTCATAATTATTCAGCTAAAAATACATAGTGCAAAGGCTTCAGCTGCTGTATTGTAACACAAAATTCTGCAAATGTTTAGTCTTCCCATTTCTATTTCTGATATAATATTTTCTTTCTTAATGACTCAAAACATTTTAAATAAAAATCAGTTCATATTTCAAAAATCTAATACTTCTTGATATCATTTCTAATGGAGGACAGAAATGCATGACCCAGAATTAGCTTTCTCTATCTGAAAATTATTCTCAAGTCAGACAAGGGTCTTTTTCAGCTTCAGCAATCATATCTGGTACAGGCAGCTGTGTCTATGCATGTGGCAAGTCACATGCTGCTATTTTCTGTATTGATATGTTTCTGGATTCAATTGACTACAAATGGTCACAAATGAACAAATGTTGTGGCATTGATACTAGTTGGAAGAGGTACAAGAAGTTCCTTCATTTAAAAAAAACAAATGTTATATAAGAAACAGTTTTAGCACTAACAAATCTATGACTAGTATGCTCCAAAGTCATAATGGTCAGCTTAGTCCCACTCATCACTATCAGTACATGTTTTTCATTATAGAAATCTTCTGCGTTGTGAATGCCCCTGCTGTGCGTCTGCTTATTAAGCCTGCAGTGTCCTGTCTAACATCAAGGAATAAATGGCACATTTTCATTAAAGCTCCAAAGTGATGTTTTTCCCACCCAACTTGATAAATCTAAGCAGCAGATGGCAGCTTCATTCTGGTCTACATATTGCTGTTTACACTTCACAAAGTCAAAACCTCCATGCTTCTCTGACACTCTTGATCATTTTAGAAAGAAAACATAACAGAAGGAGATCAGGCTCCAGGCCCAAAAATGACTGCTTGAAGATTGGTAGACTTGAATACTTGCTCATATCTGGGAACCGTAATAAGGTCTGGGGAGTCTAAAAGAACTCAATGAATACTAAACTCTCATCTGAAAAAAGAAGTTTGGTCTCTAGGATCTGTCCATGGTTCTGACCGCTCCACTTTCCAATTTTACCAATTTTACTTTTTAATGGATAAATTACATTAATCTACTTTGATAATCTTCACAATCTCTGCTAGAATCACTTCTACAATTAGAATCAGCTTTTCCAGCATGGAATGCATAACCATTTCAATCTACCAAATGTGGAAGTTGGAGTGGTAATACTTTTAGAATACAAATTTATTCTTTCTCTTAATTGTTTCAATTACCGTATTTTTTGGAGTATAAGACGCACCTTTCTCCCCAAAAGAGGGTGAAAATCTGGGTGCATCTTATACACTGAATAAAGCATTTTTGGCCTACTGAAACTTTTCCCCCTTTGCAAAAATGGACTTGCAGAGAGTTCGGGAGGCTTGCAAAGTGCTCCTGAGGGCTAGAGAGGGCAAAAATGAGCAAAAGACAGAAGGTTTTTGCTCATTTTTGCCCCCCCCTAAGCCCCCAGAAGCATTCTAAAATCCTCCCAAAAGTCTGCATGCCCTTTTTTGTTGTTGCAAAAAATGGTCTGTATTTTACTCGTTTTTGCCCCCCTCAGCCCCCAGGTTTGCACTCTACAAACCTCCCAAAGCTCTGCATGCCCCACTTTTTGCAAAAAACAAGAGGGTTTGGGAGGCCTGCAGAGTGCAAAAAACTGTTTTAAATGTCCCTCTTCAAAATCATGGTGCGTCTTATACTCCAGTGCATCTTATACTCCAAAAAATGGTAGTATCTTTCAATATGAATAATTACTTCCAGAAAGTTCTCTGTGTGTGCTCATATACATGCAAGTATGTGTTTCTATAAAAAATAATAATTTTAACTATATGAAAACATCCTTCTGTCCCACAAGCGCACACAAATATTAATATGCATGAATATCTTCCTTTGATTGTGTTGATTCTCATGGTGATTTCTGAACTTTTCCAGAAGATTTAATATTCATTTTTTACTTTAAAAATATATATTTTATTTATACCCTTCCCTTTAGTATATATAAAAACTCAATATTCACATTGACAGTGTGTTGTGTAGGTACAATTGATTTTGAGTAATAATAACAAAAAACTTAACAATGCTATTTATAACAATTATCATCAAAACATATTAATAATAATTGTGTATCCTTAATTATTCATCTTACATTATTTAATTAAACATTCTTTTCCATTTTAAGTTTCTAAGTTCTGCTTATGTTTTCTAGCCATTGATAAAATGTCTCCCATATTTAAAAAATATTCTGCTTCCTTCTTATTTTTAATTTTCATTGTTAATCTATCCATCTCAGCACATTGTAATATTTTCTTTATTACACTTTCCTTTGTAGGAATATCTTCATTTTTCCAATTTTGTGCATATACAATTCTTGCTGCTGTTAAAATGTAAAATTAAGTATGTATTTCCTTTATTATAATTTACTGGTAAGATACTCAACAAAAACAATTCTGGTCTATTTGTTGCTTTGTCATT